TTTTCTAAGGAGGGGATGTATAAAGTCCCTTGATGATGGTGACAAGGAAACCCAAAACACAAATTCAGCTTTTATTTTGCCTTTCACTTGTGCCTGATCTATGTTCAGCTGAGGATTGTTGTCATAATATATCGAATGAGTATAACATTTCCCCACTTGTCAAACTAGGGTGTGAAGACAAGATTTATGACATCGCCCCCCCACCCATCTTGCCCCCTTCCCCCCACCACCCCAAACACCCAGTTTTTTCTTAGTTTTGTTGTTTTACTGGGGAAATTAGAAGGTCACCTGCATGTTATTAAGTCGTCTTTCTATCCTGAGTAGGACCGTGCAACATCCCCCAGACTAGGTTTGTCAGAGGGTCAGCCTTTGCAGAGTTTAAGGGTTAGTTTCAAGGAAGTTTAGCTAATCGATTTTTCATAGCTGTCTGGGTTAAAACTGAATTAATTAATTCTATTTTCAGAATTGTTGTAATCAAATAAATAAGTATCTTAAGTACAGGGAAATAGAGCTCTTCCACCCCACATATAAGGAAGTTTTATTATTGGTAAGACTTAAAACAGAATTAACCTAAAATTTAGAATAAAAGCAGGTGTTTCTCCCCATAGATAAGATTTAGGAATGTTTAGCCAACAGTTTTTCGGTGCATGTAACTCTCTAAATTGATAGGTGTACAGATTAAACCAGAATGAATTTATTCTTTTTTCTGAATTTCTGTAATTAAACAAATTGGATATTTTAGAAACCCTCTTTTTAACTAACATAGTTTAAATCCTATCACATGCTTTTTCTCTTCAGAAACAGTGCATTAACAGGCATGCAGTGTTTTTAACAAAAGACTTGCCACATTGTCTGGTAGGTAGTGAAAACAGGTTAAATCCAATATAACATGTAGGTCCAACAAATCTAATCACCGTTGTCCCTTTCCAGCCTCCCTCACATCACACATGTGGTATGCAGTCACAACCAGTGAGAGTATTTCCAGTAGGCAGTGTAAGATTGGTGAATCCTCCAGTGGTCCCCTCTTCCCACACAGAAGCAAGATACAAAAGACTTCCATGCACACTTATACACTGTCCTTCAGCGGTGGTTGTTGGGTAAAGCTGCCATTTGGAGAATAGGAGCACCTGATATCCTGGCTGCATTTTGTCAGCATATTTTTCTCCATAAGGCCAGTGCCATGCCCTGGTCCTCCTTTTCACGTGCTGTGCCATCATGCAGGGACATACCCGAGACAATGGGAGCCTCACACCCTGTGTTTTTCTCAACTTTTGTCCTCTCCCCACTACAAAGAACTGGGGCATGGCATTGGGTTTATGGATTAAAATACGCTGACAAAAGATAGCTAGGATCTCAGGTGCTCCTATTCTCCAAATGGCAGCTTTACCCAACAACCACCGCTGAAGGACAGCGTATAGGGCTGTGTGGCAGTCTTTTGTAACACTCCTGTGTGGGAAGGGGGGACCACTGGAGGATTTACTGATCTTATGCTGCCTACTTGAATTACTTTTGCTATTTTGAATGTTTTGTGACCGTATGCCGCATGTGAGATGTGAGGGAAGTTGGGGAGAATGAGCCTGCAGCCTTGATGGTTTTTGTGGAATATATTTTACATTATCCGATGGCTTTAATCTCACTACTTTGGGGATGTGACACTAAGTTAAAGTCTGAATGTATGTTAATGCGCTGTTTCTGAAGAGAAAAAGGATGTAGTATGATTTAAATTATGTTAGTTAAAAAGACGGTTTCTAAAGTATCTAATTTGTTTAATTACAGAAATTCAGAAAAAAGAATAAATTCATTCTGGTTTAATCTGTACACCTATCAAAATTTAGAGAGTTACATGCACTGAAAAACTGTTGGCTAAACATTCCTAAATCTTATCTATGGGGAGAAACACCTGCTTTTATTCCAAATGTTATATTAATTCTGTTTTAAGCCTTACCAATAATGAAACTATTAGGTTGAACTTCCTTATATGTGGGGTGAAACAGCCATGTTTCCCAAATTAGAATTACCCTATTTATTGAATTAGTATTTATTTTTATTCTAACTTTAATTTGTTTTTATTGCTTGAATCCATCAATCTTTAAAGTGTTACACGCATCAAAAATAATTTTTTGGTAAACTTCCTTGAAACTAAACCCTGCCACTAACCCTTGACCCTGGAAAGGCTGACCTTCTGTCAAACCTAGTTTGGGGGATGTTGCATGGTCCTATTCCAAAGAGAAAGAAGACTATGACATGCAGGTGGCCTTCTAATTGCCCCAGTAAAAAAAATTATACTCCAGAAAAACTGGGTGTTGGGTGGGAGTGGGAGTGGGGGACAAGGTCATGAATCTTGTCTTCACACCTTAGTTTAACAGGTGGGGCAGTGTTATACTCTCTCGAACTTCTCTGAGGGCTACAATAAGTCAGTTCCACATTTATGGTCCTGTTTATAGATTTACACTGAATATGTGTTTTTGGTGCAGTGTTTTCTGTAATAATGTAAAGGATTTTTACACATGTGTACAGTTAAATAGGTGGTGTGTAGCCAAAGCACAATCATTTAAATGCACTGAAAAGCACTGATGTACTTCAGTCTGTACTGTATAATGACAATAAACTGAAACCTAAAGGCGTCAACCAACATGAAACTGAGGTGTTATGGCACTTTTTCTTGATGACTTCTCTACAGTTGGTCTGCATGTGTTGCTTTGGACAAAACTGTCAAATGAAAATGCCAGATCATATAACTATAAACCCAATATGTTTCAGCATGATGTCCAGCATGCATGTATTACTATTATACTGAAGGTGCTGTTGATCTCCTGTAGAGGGCAGCACTGGGTCAAGTCAGGGTCTACTACAAGAAGAAGGGAATGATTTCAGGGATTACAGCCATGAAGTGGTACAAAGGTTTAAAGACGTGCAAATCTTATTTGAGGGGGGAGATCATGGATGAACAGCAGGGAGCTTCTAAACCTTCATTTAACTGCACACCCTCGCTAAAACATGTATGCGCGTTCATACAATACTGGATCACTGACCTCATTATTGAGAACTGTCCTGAAAAACTAATTAATACAATACGACTGTGTGCAGAGCAAATGTTTGGCTCACTAACTGTCTCATGGAGGTCCTGACACATGCTCTTGTTTTTGGAATAACTTGTAATGTAACCAAAACTGATCATGAGTGGTTAAAGAGTGTGCTTCCTGTTAAGGTATTTTTATTTCAAATCCATGTCAGTGTATTTTGGCAATATTACTGGCACCCATAATTCCAATCCTACTGCCAAAAGTGTGTGGATGTAAATACATGAATGCCTGAATATTGCATCAAAACCTTGGGCATTAATATGTTGCTGCAGCAGCCTCAGATCCTTTGGGAAGCTGCAGACATTTGCTTCCATTCAGCCATAAGAGCAATAGTCAAATCCTGAAGTGGTGATTAGGCCTGACTACTCAGTGTTCAGTTTATCTAAGGTATTTGGATTCAGAGTTCTGTGCTGGCCAATTACATTGTTCACCAAAGTGGGGAACCCATTTCTGTATGGGCTACAGGTCCTTATCATATTAATAGGGGAAAAGGCCTTTCTAAAAACTGCTTCCACAAAGTTAGGTTTAGTCTGTTGCCCAAGATAGCATCATGTATTGTAACATTAACGGTTCACTTAAGTAAAAAAATGGTCCTATGCCAAATCACACAGTTGAAAAAAGTGCCCAAAAGTATATCTCTGAGTGTCCACATATCTTTGGCCATATAATGTCATTTTACACCATAAAAGATGGATGATACAATTTTGTCTTGATGAACAGTGAGAAGAATAATTACTATAAATGTGCACAAGGTGTCAGGTTAAAGTCCCTTGTGGCTAATTCCACATACAAGTTGAACAAGTTCTCACATACGTGAGTCATCATGTTGCTTAATCATGTCTATCCATTCTGCATTCAGGAGCACCTTTGTAACACATGCAATAATGTATTACTTCTTCATTTTGAGACAATCAGTACCTGTGTGTTATCTTGTATTATCATAGTTAGGTGATAATGTTTTTACTATAAAGGTTGTATTATGACAATATTTGCAATATACATGCACAGAAAATAGGTGTAGAATATATTTAAATACATATATCTATACACATTTCATTGTATGTTGATTACTTTGTGATCATATTAAAATACACTTAAATACTGAACACCCAAAATGCATCAGATTTACTTCATTCACCAGTTACATTTCATGCAGACAATTGTACTGTTTGTGTACAAAGACATAACTTATAAATTGAGAAGTACTATTGAAGCGAGGACCTCACAGATGGTGAAAGGACACGAGGAGGTGATGTAACACAGCTGACCTACTCGTGCAGTAGACAGACTGTGCAGCAACATGTTTGTCTCACAGGCATGTAACAGATTGCAAATCCATTCAAACCAAGTTTATTGGACTCTGATATGAAATGTACTACAGTGTATTTGTGTATTGCTGTTTCAAGTACATTTATTATTGTAAGATTCTGCTTTCCCCCCAGTCTTGTATAAGGAATTTGAACTTGAAACTCTTAACACAAGAATGCCACAATTTTGACTTCTGGTTGCTGTATAATAGTTTTACAGCAGAAGTGTAAATATCTGTTGCTGTAGCTCACATGGCCTGTTGAATAGGCCTATATGTATAATGTATTGTGGCGTGCTGGGGCAGCCAGGGGGATTGCTGTGACTGTATACATAACGGACATATCACATATGAGCAGTTACACGACCAGAGGGTGAGGACTGGTGCAGTTACCCATAGTAGGTGTTCAACAAGAGGCGGCTCTCAGAGGTTGTGCAGTGTAAGGGGGGACTAAAGCCTGCATAAAAAAGACAGCCTGACTCCATTGTCATTCCATTTGCTCCCCATAGTCTAATGTAAAAGACGTTTGAGGGGAAAACTGACCGACCCTCACAGTTAGAGCCCACCTCCCAATGGCCTTTTGCGCATGCGTACATGAGGTTACCAAAATTCAAATCTGACTCGCCTTAGCAAATATTTTGCTGAAAGTGCTGATAAAAGTGAGAGCAATACAAAGGCCAGAGTAAATAGCTATGTATCCCGGATGATTACACTAGCAGTCACCGCTCACAGAAGGTTTGTCCTCGTGTAAATGTACTTTTCTTGTAAATTCGTTGTAGTCAAACAGGTTTTTCCACTCTGTCGTCACACGCGTACCTGACAAGGGATCCTGTAACCGGAAGTTACCCAGTTTGTTGTTACCTGCGCCGACTTCTCAGGTGAGAGGCGTCGCTTTTTGTTACTGGTGGTAACGTCGATACAGATAAGTAAGAGTTGGAAAATATAAGACTGACTGTTTATTCGACACGAGGGAAATAAATTGTGCGTTTCTTATCATTTTTCCAGGGGTATTGTTGAAGACCGACACCGTCGTGTACCAAACAAGGACCAAACTAGCCGACATGTTTGTTACTTTGGTGGTTTCGGTGGCTTTGTTCATTTTCACTTCGACAGGTGAGTGATTTTGACATTAGGCTACCGCTGACGACGATTAACGGATAAATCTTCAACAAAAATAGTAGTTGGGCATATTTTGTACCTCAGATGATTTACTGTTACGGCAATTGTCTCTAAAATGAACTAGGGCCTGGTCCTGGAAACCTAAAACATTCCCCTGTTCTGTTTCTGTTTAGCTTGTGCGACTTCAGGAGGTTGGTGATTAAGATAAAGCAGATATTTGCGACCTTAAACCCTAAGGGGAGGCGCAAACAAAGAACCGCAAATATTTATTGTGTGTATGCCAAAAAGAGTTTATTAGTTTGTCCTCATTTACAAAAAAATAAGATAAATACTGTTTATAACCCTTATAATTTAACCATTATTGTTAGAAGGATATTCCACTAATACAACATGTATCAGTACTTCCACAGTTCTCGTCACATATACGTAGGAATATTATAGTAAGGTGTAAGCTGACTGTGTTATACAGGATGGTTACTGTTTGGCTCATCAGTGCTTCTGCAGCACGGCCTACTGTATGAATGGGTCCCTGGGCCATCCATCTTATTGGCAGGCCTCTTCTAACATTTCGCACTGAACAGACAAATTTGGCTTTGTGTAGAGTTCCTCATGTAATTTCAGTAAAAGGACAGTCATCTTCCCAACCCTGAAACCTGCAAATTATTCAAACGAGAAAGTCGTGTAGTGCTCTGGTATCATTTTACACTGGAGGCCTGTCTTCCTGCAAAATCAGAACTAGAGCTGAGAAACACCAGCAAGGCTCACGGAAGGCTTTAGTCATTAAAGTATGTACAATAATATACATTGTAATTTTAAGTGATCAACTTAAGCATTATATTGGTATGCACATAAATTTAATACCTTGCCATATTTTTTGTTTTCATTTTGTAGTAACCCGAGTAATGTCTACTATCAATGATAGTTGATGATGATTTTACTCCTGATGCTGTTCCCCACAGTTGAGCCTCTCTTTGTCATGTCATACAACATGGTGGTAGTTAAACTCCCAACACTTGTGATGTAATGTGATGTAAAGTGGTTCAGTAGGTTCATATATGGTATTGACTGAGACTTGGAACTACATGCATTAATGATTTCATTACCTATGTTTCTGTGGTAGTAGCACTGCTTTGCTTGGAATTTCATCCAGACTGTTGATAGTTTCACCGGAAGTTTTCTGGCTCAGCAGACAGGAATGAGCCACTTGTTGTATATTGTCCACACCCTGTAGGCGTATGAGTGTACTCTCAGTATTTGAAAACAGGTGTGTCCTTAAGTCTGAAGTGCTATTTCAATGATCTTTATCAGGATTTGATTTTGTGAGCTACTGTGGTAGGGATGATGACCTTTGGTCATACTGGTCATAGAGGTGCTGGTCTTTTAACACTAATGAAGCCCCTTACACTTAGATTGTGTTATAAGATGTCGCTTGAAGGGCTGCAACTAATGATTTTATTATTGTTCATCTGTCCCTTATTTTCTCGTTTAACCATTTAGTCCTTACAATTTCAGAATGTAATAAAAACTTTCTCAAAGGCCAAATTGACTTGGCAGTTTTCTCCAACCAACAGAACAATACTGAAATATTCCCTTTATTATAACAGAAGATGAAGCAGTCCAATAAATATTCACTTAGGACCTGGAGCCAGTGAATTTTTGCATAAAAATTAATTGCTTGGTCAAAACATTTATTAACCACTGATTATTTTATTAACTCATTAATCAACTGATTGCCTCAGACCTGTTTTATAAACGGACACAATACTGAAAATAGTCAGACACTGGATCACTGTTTGGCATTTTGATGGCTGAGTACTTTCTCTTTCTCCTATCAATCATCTTCCATATAGCTGAATAACATACATAACCTTTGCACACAGACCAGTCAGAGCACTGACCTTATATGTTATTCTTTGATGAAAAAATTGTAGAACTGGCGCTAATCTCCATCCAAACTGAAGCATCCCAGCCTCAGTTCTACCAGTCTTCATGTCTACTGCAGCTTTTTGTGTTCAACCTTTTAAATATTACAACACAGAGTACTTTCATACTTTCATCTTGTCTCTAACCCAGTCTTATCCTCAAGTGAAGGAGATTAAAAATACAGCCTTCTAACCCTATAACTACAACATGACTGTTCTAGCTACTTGGATGGGTACTGATGCTGCACCTAGAGACAAGACTAGGCAGCAACTGACTTAATCACATTCATCAAGACTTAAAGTAATAGCTGTATTTAATGGAAGTGAAAATTTAGCTGCAGCGCTATTAAAATTGTGATGGGTTATGGTTGTGTGCTATGTGCATTATACAGACTAGTAAGATCCGTATTTTAATCATGGATGTATTAACCTCTAGAGTCCCTGCGTCCTCATATGAGGACCGCACAGCTTGGGTTTCCAAAGCTCAGGACTCTAGAGGTTATAAGTGTAATTATGTTTTATTTTACTGTCTGTGTCTAGGTGTGAGTGGCTTTGATGTCACCACCTCCACTCCAGATGTGCGGGTGAAGGAGAACGAGGGTGAGTCCTGAAAATATATATTAATTTAAATATAGAATTTATATGGAGCATCTTAAATAGAGGTGACTGATTGCAAGTTTCTGGGCCAGTTTCGAACTGTAATTGACAGCATACACAGAATTTTTTTTGTAACTTTCTGTAACAATTCAATTTTTTTATTAAAAATAAAACATTGTATTAAAGTTTTACATTTTCCACCTTTCCCCTCACTCTTTTTTTAACAAACCTTTAACTAAAAAGGAAGAGCAGAATTTGTACTTCTCCAAATATAAACAGGTGCAACAAGTAGCTGAAACAGAAGAATATCTGTTATAACTGAGCGCACACTTTTTCGAAGTGTGTGTAGTTTGTATTTGCTGTGTTTCACCACGGGTTAGATACACAGTACATACACAGGCATTTCATGTGTAGCCAGTAATTCCCTCACTGTGTGCTGTTTGACGGAGATTTGGACATAGTTTCCCTTTTCCAAGATGTTTCTGTAGCCTCCTCTGTGTGCTGTTTGTACACCAAGTGCTTCCAATGTATGAGTGAACGCGTGCCTGGTGCAGACATGAGCGTGAGCCTCGCTCGAGGTGCATGCATGATGCTATTCGCTGCACACACTATGTTTTTGGTCTGTGCCATCGCATTTGCAATGTGGACTGTTGTGCCTCTAAATCTGGGTGATACAAAATTAGGAATCGGCCGGTTGCTGGTCAAGGCTGAACATGCTGAAAACCAGCCACTTCCTATGTCCGCTGATTGATCGGAGCAGCTCGAATCCTTAAACCAGTTAAGGATTAGAGGGATGCAAAAAACATGTAAATAGGCTCAGCAGCAGTTGATTTTATTATGTTGTATTATTTATTTTTTGTACATTTCATACTTGACGTTTTATCACAGGAGCAAACTATATCTGTGAATTTATTTATTTTTAATCTGTGATGGGCTAAGAGAATTCAAGAAGGATTATTCGCACACTCTTAAAGTGGTATTATTCATCAATTCTTGTTTCTTACTCTTCAAGTGTGACAATAACAAAGTGAAAACCTACACTGTGAGATGGTGTGTTATTTTTGGATTTATTATGAACTTTATTATTTGTTGTTTCAGGGACTGACCTGAAATGCAGTTATTCACCCGACTTTGGTGCCTCTGCCAGACTTGAGTGGAAATTTCACGACATAAAAGGTTCCCAGACATATGTGGTTTTTGATGGGACACCAACAAGTAAGTTGAAAGACTTTCTTGGTTGTATCATGTTAACAAATGCCAGCTATTTCTTTTTTTTTTTTTTTTATCTCTACCACAGAAGTTTTGTTCTTAATCTTCTTATCTGTATTCCTTGCTGTTACTTATCAGAATATCTCAAACTACTGTAAAAGACTGTACTGTAAATTTAGTTGACGTGCATATCAGCTACATGTGATCCTGCAAAAGGTGATGCAGTAACAAATTTTAAATGTCAGAAAGTTGCTTGAGGGTCACACGATTGCCTGTCATTGTTTTTTGATGCAGATTCAGAGAGTTTGCAAACATTGAAATATCTAAGAACAATTATGTGCCTGCTCTGTGAATGCTTTTGCTAAGTTATGTAATGCTACAACACTTCCACAGCATCATATGCTGGCCGAGTGACAATGTATGAGAGTAATCTGAGGATGTCCAAAATTACCCGTCAAGACAATGGATTGTATAGCTGTGAGGTGTCTGGAAATGGCAAGTTTGGGGAAGCCACTGTGAAGGTGACTGTTCTGGGTAAGGACCCTTTTAAATCACATTCTGAAAATGCATCTTTTGATTTATAATCCAACTAGATTGATACTACTACCATAAATGTACAGAAAATCTGATGTAAAGCTAGTCGTCAGTTTATGTGCTGTACTAGCAGCTGTGTTGTATTGTACATGAGCCGATTGGCTGAAAATTTTACATTATACCCCACAGTGGCTCCATCTCCACCCGCGTGTAAAGTCCCCAGCACAGTGACTACGGGCACGTACGTCCTCCTGTCCTGCAATGATCCTGATGGCTCACCTCCTCCCACCTATAGCTGGTACAAAGATGGCGTCCTTCTGCCCTCTGATCCCAGCAAGGTTTCTGGCTTCAAGAATGCCACCTACAAGCTAAATCCACAAAATGGCAACCTGGTCAGCTACATCTGAATACTTTGCTCCATCTTACTTCTACTGTCATACTTAAATGCTATGACTGCTACAGTCCCTGTAGCCTTTAAAATTAAATGGATGTGCTGTCTGTCTCTTCAGGAGTTTCCCAGTGTAGCCAAGGGTGACTCGGGTCAGTACTACTGCTCAGCTGTCAATGATGCTGGTCCTGCTCAGAGCTGTAAACCCATGCAAATGGAAGTTCGTAAGTGCTCTTTATTTTTAATTTCCAATGTATGCCAGATAAGGTTACATATTCAAGAGGTGGTAATCTTTCAACCAATTTATAGTGGCTGGCATTCCAAAACTTAAAGGGCAACAAACCGCTTTGGCTGCATCAAAGGAGTATACCACCAGAGTTCATCATAAAGATTAAACCTTCATTTTCAGTTATCTTTTAATCATATGGGTGCTCGAACTGTTTTAGTGTAAAAATCTTCAGCTTGACTACACCAGAAAGTTAACTAATGAAGTTCAGAATGTAATTGATTGATTGTTTTTTCTTTCAAGGTGACTTAAACATTGCAGGAATTGTTATTGGGGTAATACTGCTTCTGCTGCTATTGGCTGTACTGGGATTTGTCATTTGGTATCTCTGCAAGAAAGGATACATTTCCCGTGAGTTTTTTTTTCTAACACCTTCCTCTCACTCACCAGCCATTATGGGCAACATGATTGAGCTGAGGGATGCACATCTGCCAACAATATGCATTTTGGTGTGAAGGGGAGACATGCAGTAGCTGGTGTCTTCACACGATTTCACAGGCAGGGTCCCACACACACACACACACACACACACACACACACACACACACACACGCACTCCTATGGGCAATTTTAGAGACACCAATCAACCTAAGCTGCATGTCTTTGGACTGTGGGAGGAAGCCGGAAAGAACCCACGCAAGAAACTCCGCACAGAAAGGTCCCGGGTGGGGCCCGAACCCGGAACCTTCTTGCTGTGAGGCAACAGGCGCCACCGTGCTTCTCTTTTTTTCTTTCACATTGTAATAATATCATAGGTATTTACTGTGGTCATCAATATTATAATGTCCAGTGTTGGCATTTCCAGAAACCTTGGACTTCTAAATAGTCAGCTTGTTGGTCAGACTAGTTCAAATTGAACTGAAAAAAAATTGGTTTCATCTTAAGCAGCACATAGTCAAGACACAAGCAAGAGTAAAGAAACAGATAGCTAGAGAGGCTGCTTGCAACATAAGTCAGTAGCAAACTAGGATTTTTTTCCCCCTTTAAAGGAGGTAATCAAAGGACGTAGATGTTGTCGCTTACAGATTATCCACACAGAGTTTATTGGATAAAAAAAAAAAAGTCCTTTAATAACCAGTCAAAAAATGTTGACACTCTTTAGTGTACCAAAAATGGAAAATACCGAATAATGACAGAATATAACAAATTTTTCAATAAAAGTTCAAATTAGCAAACTATTTAAATTATACAGCCAGCACGCGAGTATGTGTATAAATAAAACAAAGTTTCCATAATTAGCTAACTAAAAACAAAACAGAAATTTTATTATTTCAGGGCTCTGCTAATGGCAGATGCATTCAAAACAAAATTTCTAAGGAAATATCAAGTATGTATTTTAATATTGAATAGTATATTTAGCTCTGACAACAATATCTGACTAGTTTTGGTCTCGCACATTTAAAAATGTGTGATTTTTAACAATTGCATCAGGAGGATATACTCAGTGAGGTCACATTAAAGCTCACGTGTCTCTCCCTGATACCTGTACTGACAACTACTAAGTGATACACCTATTCATGGAATGGGAGAAACTAGGCTTGTCATATTTTTTTATGATTTTTTTTGTATTTTGGTCTTAGGCGTTTATACATTTCTTTATTTTGGTGTGCTGTGATTTTGGCAGTTATTGCTGTTGCTACTGGATACCTGAATTTCCCTTGGAATCAAAACGTAGCTCTCTTCCTGTCTATTGCTCGCTCTTGTTTGGGTAGCAGGTATAATGCCAACATAAAACAAACCAAATCAGTTAATATTACCCAAGTCATGAGTAACATATCAGTAAGCCGTCCCTGGTAGACGAGTGGTTAAGGCGCAGCACTCTCGCCACTGCGCCCCGGGTTTGAGTCAGGGTTGCGTCAGGAAGGGCATCCAACGTAAAACACATGCCAAATGTCAACATATGAGTCATCAGTGTGACGATTCGCTGTGGCGACCCCTAAACGGGAAGTGACTTTCATGAGTAACATATCAGAATCACCCTAAAGCACATCCTGTCACCACATTTTGTTTGTTAGCTAAAGCTATCTATTAATGTTAGCTAAGTTACTTTTAAGTACACCCACTATAATGCTAATGCCTATTTTTGTTTGTGTAGTATTAATGTTAGTAGGACTGGTGTGTAGACTATGCCCAGGACAACTGAACAGGTCTTTCATGTCACTGAACAATCTGTGTGATATATTTGATAGTGCTACCATAATGTTATGATCACAGCATCTGCAACAGACAGCTGCTCCAATGAGCTCTCTCCTCTGACTGAGCACTGCACTGTTTTCATTTGAAATGCACTCCAGCAGCCATGTTGCTGCATATGTAGACAAAGCAAGTTAAGTCTTTGTAGAGCCGATTGGAAATTGTACAGACATGCTATTAATATCAAAATAGGGGTGGGGACAATTTTAGGTAATCAGAAAAGTGGTAGGGTTATGTCCAGACCGTCCCTACCATAAACTACACCCAGCAAACATAAAGCATGTTCTCAATACTAATCCAGGTAAAACGGAAACAGCAGGCTAAAGTATAAGGTTCTTGTGGCATACTGATATGTTGATATGTGTCATATAGTACTGACATTGTTTCCTTTCTTCCCTTTACAGCGAGAGGTCAAAGGTAAGAGGGGGTGTTTTTTTTTTGTACTTTCTAAGGAGTTTATCAGATAATCCATAAACTGGTATTCTACTCTAAACATTGTGATGTGCACGTTTTATTCAGATGACATGCATAGACACGTCTGAAACTATATTGTTTTGTTTTTTTTTCTTCTTCCCAAATCTCCCTGCAGCAAGTCAAAGCCTAATGTAGTCTACCAGCCCCCAACATTGCATCGTGATCTTGATGATGTAAGTATGGACCTGTCTGCTTCAACTTAAAGTATGGTTGCTATTCTAAAAGGTTTAAATAGCAGGTGGTGATTGATATGATTATTTTAAGAACAGTTTTTTCTTTAAAAAAGTTTTTAAAACTGGTGTAAAAAAGTTATGTTTGCTTTTCAGGGGGAATTCAAACAGAAGTCGTCATTTGTGGTGTAGTGTGCAAGCAGAAGTCAGTATACCTGTGGTTTAAAAATTCAGCTTGTTTCTGAAGATTTTAGCGATCTCTTTCTGATATTTTACTGCAGATAGATTCACACTTTTATGTGTTTATTAAATGTGCTGTGACTACTCAGTTTTTCCACCTCTTTGGAGTGTTTGTGTGCTACCCAGTGGCTGTGTCTGCTAATAACAGAACAGTTTTTTTTTTAATTATTATTCAAATAATTCATCTGAATGTTAACACATCAAGTCAAAGGCCGCACAGATACTCCCAGTAAAACAGATGGAATTTCCTACAGTATCTGTGTATCTACATCGATAGCTGCTTGCTTAGATACACATAAATCACATACACACTATGATTTTTTTTTTTTTTTTTTTTTAAACAAACAATATACTGTTGTAATTCAGATTTTTTTTCTGTTGTTTATTAAGGTTTTTGATTCTTGTAAATAAAAACATTTACAGCTTTTTAACAATCAGTTAATCACAGTTATCACTGGGCTTCCTTGTATTTAGACTAGAAATTCCACAGTAACTTTGTGCATTGCTATTGTGTGTGGACTGTTTGACCCTAACATTTTGTACATTGATAAAAATATTGTTGAACTAATTGTGCATTTTTAGGCTGTGTTGTCTGAGACATTAAAACCTCTGCACTATATAGGTTTTTAATGAATGCATTGATCTTCAAGAGTGTAAGCTGACAGTTAATGATGAATCTAGTTTGTAGCTGAAGCAAACAGTTAATGCTTTTGTGTTTACAAACATGGAGGTAATTATTTAAAGAATTATGTGTAGCCTTATTAATTTTACCCATGTCCCATGTGCTGACATGATGGTCCTACTATTAGTTCTGCCCTCTAACTCCAGATGCTGAAATGACATTTGTTTATTTTGTTTCATCTTTATCCTTGACATAAGTTCTCAGGTCATTTGTTTGTGTAAGCGATTTGATAAGATCAGACACGAATGCATATGTGATTATGTAATCTATCAAGTACAATACTTACAGTAAATAGGGTTTCCCTAAGTTTTCTACATTAATCAGCTCTAAATTGGAGCAAGCAATCAGCTAAAGATTGTAGCTTTGTATACTGGTTAATAAAGATTGTGCTGTTAAATTGTGTTTAGTGTTAGGTGTCAATTCTGACAAGAAATTGCTGAATCAACACCTGCTGAGGTCAAAACCAGTTGGCTTTTGAACTGTATGTGTGACTTTATAAAGGCTTTTAAAACATTTTTACTCCTTGCTCTGCCTTTGAGTTCCTGAATATGTTGTTTTGTATTTATCATGATGTTTAAAAAAAACCTTTTTAATCTTCAAGAGCACCTTTAAGCTTTCTGGATTTGCTGTAAATGTGACGCAGTGAGAACTTGGCCTCTTTTCATTGCAAGTTAATATTAAAGGTAGGGTTGGTGATTCCTTCCATAAGTATTTTTTGTTACATTTCTTGAATTTGTCTTTTCATCCCGATGGCAATGGATACATCAAATGCACTAATGATAAAGAAAATCAGTCATCTGTGGGAGCAGCAGGGCTGAAAAACATCTTATTAGTAATTGTAATCATACCAAGTACAACCAGTGGATGGCCTACCTGCTTGTCAACATACTTCCTAGTTTGTGCACTCTCTGCCCATGCGCTCGGTGCACGAGCAAAGAGCTGTCATTTGCAAACAAAGACTATTGTTACAGGCCAGGCCTTCCCCTTTATAATGTATAGCCTTATAGGAAATGATGATATTGGTGCCAGACGTTACTACCTGTGTGCGCAGTATGAGAGCGAGAAGACCGCCTCACAGAAAAGACTTGCTTTTACATGCTGCCAGACAGTAGTCAGGCCTAAGTGTATAGATAGGATTGTAGTACAGTTAACTGGGCATCAAAGGCCATATGCAGTGTTCATGTTACTGAGACAGAAGAAAGCCCGTTTTGAATGGCATTAGCTGACCTACCTCTCCATTTCTCCCTTCTAAGGCTTGTTACCGGCTACAAGCCAGGGCTAAAGCAGTTTAGCCATGAACCAGAGGCCCCAAACTATGGTTTGGGGTGTCTTTTGAGCGATAGCAACAACAGAGAGAACAAAAGGGGCTGAAAAGTGAGATCATGGTGGCCGTGTCTCTGCTGGCCAGGTAATTATCAGTTTTGTTTGAGAGGCATTTGTGATTTTTCTGAAATCAGTAGTAGTCAGGCAGTGTGTGTTGTGTTTTGGAGAGAAGTTGGAATGAAAGAGTGGGATTTCTATGGCTGTCTACTTTCAAAATCAAGCTTCCTCTTACTGGGTTTTCCAGGATCACCAACCCTATCTTTAAGCTTTGGATAAACAGTGAAATGTTTTATTTGTGCTACTTATGTTTGTTTTTTGAAGGTGTCAAAATCCAACAACAAACCGAAAGTAGCCCACAGACGGGTGACAAATGAAAGGAAAAACCAACATCAACAGTCTTAGTAAGGTGTTGGGCCACCATGTACCACCAGACTAGCTTCAATGCTCCTCGGCATCGAGCCTTTACTGGAGGGATGAACACCATTGTTCCAAAAGATATTACCTCATTTAATGTTTTGATGATACTGGTGGAGAGCACTGTCTAACAGAGTCCAAAATCTCTAATAGGTGTACAACAGATTTGAGATCTGGTGACTGTGAAGGCTACAGCATGTTATTCACATCATGTTTATACTCATCAAAACCATTCAGTGACCCCTCAAGCCCTGTGGATGGGGACATTGCCATGCTGAAAAAGACCACTCATTTATCCAGGTTTTTGCTTTACTTTGTCACACATTTATGTATTTTTGGACACTTGAGTTGAGTACTCCAGTGAATAGCCTCCTTATGCCTCTGTTCTGAGCACTATACTCCTGATGTCATTAAAATGCAAGTGCACAAATTTGTTAATAAGCCATTCCTACACTAATAATCTGTTAAAATCAGTGAAGCTTATGGATATGCACATACTGTCTGCAGCAGCACCTTGGGTGTAAATAAAAGACAAATGTATCGTAGATTTTCAATGAAGCCACTTGTCACATGCTGTATGTTCCTAACATCCCTTTGTGGCCACACAGTGTAACTTACAGACTACTTAAAAAGGAATGTAACACAACACTTATATGCATTAAATCATCTTACATGTTAACTACATCTACTGCACTGTGAAGCTAACCATAAACACACATTCATGTTAGTTTTAATTCTGGAAGTTTAAAGTTGAGAACCACTGTTGATAACATTGAATTTTAGTTTTGGAAGTTCTAACAATCACGTTTTAAATACACACATGCATTTGCAACCTTTTAAGAGTCCAAATGAATTGTCATCCTAAGCATGGCTTAGGACTGGCTGTTGATTGACTATTCATAAGCATAAGGACTAACATTTTTATTATTTAAGCTATGGGTTTACATAAGAGTAACATAAGAGTGCAACAGTCAGAGTAATGTCCATAGTACAAGCAGACAGTTTCCTTATATGAGACGCAAACCACGCTGGTTTCCTGCCCTTATAAACGGTGCACTGTCCCTTTAACTAAAGGGGTCGCGTTGTTGGAGTTTTTAACATTTTACAGGCTGGACCTCCGCTCACTCAGGATCCATTCACAAATAAGACATCGCGTAGGAAGCTCGCATCGTCGCATCTGATTTTTCATTCAGCGAACCGGATGCGAGGGGCGAACAGGAACCAGACATGATCACCTCTGTCGGGAACTGTGAATCGGGGGCACGGCTGAGAGAGCAGAAGTGACTTCCCATGGCTGACCCCCTTGCCGATGGTTTTGACTTAATGTACGAGCCGTCAGGAGGCAGCTTGATCCAGCTCAGAACGTTTTTAAGCCTCAAAAAATGCTCGCCTTCTCGTAGAGTTTGGTGTTTTCTGTGCGCTTCCGCTTAACACAAGTCTTCCTGGCTTGAATAGTCTGCTGCTTTCATACTTCTTTCCATTACATTGTTATAAGTAAATGAACATACACCAGAGGAGCCGAGGACCTGACATACCGATGGAGCAGTGAGTTATGGCAGCCAAAGAGGACCTGTATGCCAAAGTGACCCCGCGGAGGCAGCGCCAGAACCGGCTAGGCACCGTCAAACACGGGTCTGCTCTGGATGTGCTGCTCTCCATGGGCTTCCCAAGGACCAGGGCGTGAGTACACAGCTGTGCTGTCCCAAGACGTGCACACTCATACACTGTGCTGGGAAGTAGCCAAGTACATTTACTCAAGTACTGTTCTTAAGTACGGTTTTGAGGTATCTGCACTTTACTTCACTACATTTTAGAGGCAAATATTGCACTTTTTACTTTACTAACATTACATTTATTTTGTACCTTCAGTTACTTTTCAGAACCAGATTAATACAAAAAATACTGTATAATTATAATACTTCATTGATCTATACCCAGCAGTCATTAAATTAAATGCATATAGGCCAGTTAAAACCAGCCCCCCCCCCACCAGCTGCAACATTAAATGTGATAAACAAAATTGTGCATCAGTAACAATAATACAATAGTTTGAATGTAAAATGTGCCATAATGAGTATTCTTACTTGTAATACTTGAAGTATATTTTGATGCTAATATTTTTGTACTTTTACTTAAGTAACATTGTGAATGTAGGACTTTTACTTGTAAGTGAGTATTGTTACACTGTTGTGTTGCTACTTAAGTAAAACATCTGAGTACATTCTTCCACCACTGCTCACACACTGTCATAACTAATCAGGATTTCCGGCAGCATACGCTAAATTCACACTCATTGCCAAAGTTTCTTTTATCTGTCTGTTTCAGTAACAACATGGGCAGCTGATCTCAAGCATCTCAGCAGCTCAAAGGAGACGGTTAATTTCTGCTCTGCTGTGCATGCTATAGACAGTTTATGAGGTCATGTCAAAGGACCCCTTTTAAAGTGTAGTTTGGTCTTGAATCCACAGCCATATTGCATGTAGTTTGTTTTTGTGCCATTGTCTAGAAATGAAATTAAATGAATGTTAGTTTGTATGCTGTGAACATTTAGCTGTTACATGGGCCAGTTTTCTTATGTAACACTAAATTGGTGGATGAAGATCCTTAATTCTAACAAAGCTGTGTCCTCCTTATGCATCCAGAATAGCCCCTATCAGTGATGTATTATTGAACATCATTCTGAGCTAATTTTGTCTGCTTTTTATAGTTGTATTGTTAAACCTACAGTATAGCATATGTAATATATTTTTAAAATGTTAATCTTGCAGTGTTACTAGTAACAGTGACTGTTAGTAAAGGCAGCGTAGGTGGAAAACTCCCAAATTGTCCTCTGGAAGTACTCAAACCAAACACAAGTACTTGAAATGTGTATGTACAGTACTTGTTTGTGCACTAGGGCTGCAACTAACCGCTATTTTTGTTACAATTTAACCTGCTGATTATTTTTACAATTAGACATTTGGCCCAGGAAATGTCAGAAAACAGTGAAAAATGCATGCTTCAATTTCCAAAAGTGGCACCTCCAAATGCCTTTGTCTGACCAACAGTCCAAAATGAGAACGTATTCAGCTACCTTCCTAGCTTAAAGAAATATTTAATAACCAAAATAGTTTTAAGGTCATTTTATGTGAATCAGCTAATCAGTTAACTAATTCGTTCTAACGTGTATTTGGTGTTCGCTTTTGTCTAAGTAAGCTCCCCGGTTTTCACTGAAAACCCGATCTTTTCACCATACCTGTGTGCTCTTAGCTCTTTCCTCTTGTTTATCCTATAGTTGAGAAGTTGCCAGGAAACAAGCAGTATTGTGGATGATGCTGCTGCATTAAAATAATAACAATGTGTCGATGCCATTGTCTCACTATACCTACAGTACTGTTCCAGGGCTTAAACATAACGTCTCAATTTAACAGTTAGTTATTGAATTATTTCTTTGTTTAAACCAGATATCATTATAAAAAAGGTTAGATACAGAAGTGCTACACTGTGAGTGAATGGGTGAGTAACTTCATGGACATGACAATGTAAATAGTGCCTTATCTTTTGAGTCAAAACACTGTAGTAATGAGTTATTTTATAACACCAGCTTGAAACCTTTTATACCTGATAAGCCTTTGATAAGGTTTGTGTCTCCATAGATACTGAATCAAGATCAAATTTTCATTTAAGTTCTGCATGGCTCAGTTTTTACATCTCAGCCTCTTCACTGCACACGCTCTATCTAATCACATAATCTATAATCATAATGGCCCTTTTTATTGTTTGTGTTGTCAGTGATTGCCACAGTATATATTAAGCCTGATAATTTGAACAGCCTCATCTCACACAAAAGCCTTTCCGTATGTGCAGCAGGCTTCAAGATTGTGTCCCACGTAATAGAAGAGCTCTGAAAAAGTTCATGTTTGTCAGCAGCGGCAGTAATCTCAGAGCACTGTGATTAGCTTCCAGGTCTTTTACTTGTTTTAGTATTTGAGTTGTAGGATATAAAACTGTCTCCCCATGTAAAACAAGGGGCTAAAATTTAACAGCGAGGTTTGACAGTTTTCTGAGTGTCCAAAAGTGTCGAACAGGCACTTTTCTTTTAACCAGACAGATACAGTATCTCCAAAATTAAGCCTTTGTATCCTCTGCAGAACTGGCAAAGGTCATCCAGGCTTTCATCAGACTGCAGCTCTTTCTTCCTGCCTAATGAACTACTACAGACAAAATGAGTGACTGGCTTTGGTTATGTTTGCAGACTCACATCTATTATGGATGATAGACTAATACAAGTCAATTTAGGCGAAGCTATAAAATTATAATGTGGTAGAATCATTTTGCATCATTACCTTCAAGCCTGTCTGGTCTGAGTTAGAACACAGATAGCTATGTAATATAACATTTATACCTACGAATGGACCCAACACAGGTGAGGGTGCATGATGTTTATAGACATCACCCTGAGTGTTTTACTTTGTTACCTTAGTTGGTGTGAATGCTTTCTGAGTTTATTGCACAGTAGTTAGTCCAGTTGTGCAGCCCAGTCTCACATGAAGATAGTTACGTTGGTCCACCGAGTAAAATGTAGTAATGTCACAATAACGACTGTAAAATTGTGACATCCAGTGTTTGTTTTTTTTAACATTGCAGCCATGTGTTCTTATTCGTGTTCTTTGTCTTGGTGCTTTATGGCAGTTGGCAAACAACAAACTATTCAAAGTCAGTTTTGCTAAACAGTTACAATACTCCAACGCTTTTGACTTGTCACTTTTGGGCTGTGATCATCAACATCTCTGCCTGTGCAGACTGTCACATTTTACTCTTAAGATACCCAGACACACTGCAGGAAGATATCAAAATCAGGCCTCTCCCTAGATGTTGGTGGGTGAGGATGAAGGAAATTCAGTTATCATTCATAACATGAGGGAACAAGGGCTTCATTGTGCTTGAGGGTCCTTTTTCAGTCAATGGGGAGCATGCACACACACACACACACACACTGAAGCAGCCTCACTATTTTAATTGGGGGGGATTTTCTGCTGATTCATTCAGGAATCGACTGTAATCAGATAGGAGCTGGACGGACATGGACTTTGTCTTTGTGCTGATTGTATCCGATGGTAAGAAGCAGATTTGGAAACTGATCCGGCTGAGAATGCGAGAAAGACACAAAGTTTCATCATCTTATCGCTCTCGTTTGCAGCTCTTCACTTTGAAGCAGTCTTTCACTATGGTTTTGGTAGCGGTAGAGTGCAGGGATGGGACAAATGCAGAGTTAGATCAGTTTTGGTTGGCTTCTTATAACATTTAATAGGGCGGAGGGCAGTTAACAGCTTATGAAAGGAAAGTAGCAACTAGATTCTGATGAAAGAAGTATCATGTCATTTGTTATTCAATACTTATTGCATTTTGAGTGTCCCTGGAAACTCAACTTCCTCCCTGCGTCATGACCTGGTCTAACCAGTGCTGTAGCCAGGAGTTTAGAAACACCTAGTCCATGAGTCAGTGTCCCCACCAACACCCACAGCCCAAGTCCAAACAGAAAGTCTTTTCTGTAAGTTTTATTTACAGTTTAATAGAAAAAAAAAGATTGAGTAATTAATTGAGAGATGATTCGATAATAGCAGTAATTGCTAGTTGTAGTTTAATGTATCCTCTTAAAAACGCAAACTAAACAAAATATAACTAAAGTAACAATTTTATCAGTTATCTCTCAGTTTTCTGTAAAATTAGTACCAAATGACATGGTGCCTTCCAATAAGCATCCCGGGAAGTTATTTGGGAATTAAAGACTTCTAGAGTAAAGCATTGTTTATCTTTTGTTTCGGTTTGTTTGCAACCATATCTATTTACTGACTCATAATCTTTTTCCTTCAGACTATGAGTCATACATTCTCTGATGTTTCTTGAAGAATACTCATGTCGTGCTTCCTTGTATCATTGTGATGATGCTTAAATATTTACTTTTTGTTGTACATTACCTTTCTGAATAATTCCCATTCTGTCCTTTTCTGCTGCATAATAAGAGGAAAGCCCCTAAACAGTTCTTGTTTCCTTGTGTGAAGTATATCAGTACTGGCCCATAGAGGACACACACAGTGATGTGTGTGCAGTTTAAATGTCAGGTTTGTGGCCAGAGTAACTGGGCATACTTGAATCACACATTTGAAACTTGGAAACAACATGGATCACCCTGTGCTGGTTGACTGATCACTTTTAAGGAAGCAGATGGCAGAAATTAACCACCAGATTTTAGACAAATGAGCTGCGAAGAGGTTATAAGAATTACGAGAACCTAAATTGCACTAAAATAAGCAGACTGCGTGTCTGCGGCTGTTTTGTGTCAGCCATGCTTGCAGGACACACCTACCCCAGAGCACCTGCGTAAATAAAACCTGGCTGAATTATAAAAACATTTGAATCTGATGCATGACGCAGATTTGTGTGTTACCAGTTTTGTTTAGTGAGGAATAATGTGGCATTTGTGAGCAAGGGAAACAGGAAGTTAATAACCAAAATGTACCAGAACAACAAATGCAGTGACAGACAAGGAACCTTAAAGATTTTAAAGTCTTTTTTTTCTAACAAAACAAAAACAGATACATTAAACCAAAAGAAAAGTTTCTCATAAGTGTCCTGTGATACTGTAGACCAGTCACAGATGTTCTCACAGTGACGCTGCTACATGGAAAATTCAGCTCTCA